ACCAGGTCTGCAGTAACATCATCATCCGCACCCACCATGGAGAAGTGGCCTTGTTCCAGGGCTGCCCTTCTCCTGCTGGCCTTCTTCCCTCCAGGAAGGGCCTTCTGGCTGTTCAACGTGCTTTTCCCGCCCAGCACCACCCCAGAAGCCCCACTCTCCAACAACACCTTCCCTGTCGTGCTTGGTAAGTGGGCAAAGCATGGCATGGGAAATGGCACGGGACTGGCATTGCTCTGGGCAGGGAGGGGCATGTGGCATCCGCCAGCCCTCTAGGAGGTTTGGCTAGGGCTCCTCTTTGGGTTCGTCTTACGAGCTCCATTTTCGGGGCTGCCTGGAGGAGCCGACCAGGTGCCAGGTTGGAGTGGGGCTTGTTCCAAGGTCTGAGCTCCGTCCCTCAGGCTCGCCCTCAACGGGGACTCGGCTCTTCCTGACGCCTGGCTGGCTGGACCCTGGCAGGAGGGATTCCCTCTTGTCTTTGGGGTGGGGACGGGGTGCCGGGCAGCAACTCCCACCTGAAGTCTCTCCTTTGTTTCCTCTCCTTCTCCACATCTGGACAGAGGGCCTCTCCCGCCACAGACTAGTGTCGTTCAGGTGGACGTGGGATGGGCAGAGAGACCGTACCCCATCCTGCCCCCACCCGTGCCTAGGACACTGCAAATGCAAACCTTGCTTCCCCTTCACTCCTTTGACTGGCCCTAAAAACAGGAGCCTGAGCGAGAGGCTGGTGAGTGAGCAGATGACCTCTCACATGCCTACATAGGGCAGTAGAGCTGCTGGCCGGGGGAATGTCCTTCTCTCAGTCCTGGGGCTGCCATGGAGCAGCAAAATGTTGCTCTTCCGCCCTGCCCCCTCCTTGCCAACAGCCTAAAGCCCAGGAGCATCATCAGCCTGGGAGGAATCCGGCAACTCTAGCACAGCTGCCTTTGACTTCTGGTGCTCCAACCCCAGACAGACAGTCTCTCTCCTTCTCTCTCTCTCTTTCTCTCTCTCCCTCCCTCCCCCTGCCCGTCTCCCCAAAACTGCACAGAGCTCCTCCCGCCCAATCCTCTTCTGACCCTCTCTGCGATGACCTTCTTGTGCAGACCGTTTTGTTTGGTTGGTTTTGGAGTTTTGTTCTGCTTAACAGCACTGGCTGGACTTTGGTTTGTTTGCCTAATACTTTGAAGGATTACAGTTCATTTACTGAAAGTGGGAGGGAGCCTCCCAGTTGGCATGGGTACTATGGCCAGGAGGCACTGGGAAATGACAAAAGAAATGGGCCAAAATGAATGGGACCTTAAAGGACCCTCTCTGGCCACTTGTTTAATCAAGATTTGTACTTCACATATCTTTCTTACAAGCCCATTTTTCCTTCCAGGGGCCACCCAAAGGACAAACCTACTTCTGAGCAAGATGCTGAGTGAATTTAAACATTAGTTAAAAGAAAATGTTGGCTTTGGGTGCAAAACTGCTCTGTTTTTCATCGCAGCCCTGCCAGATTTTGACAGCAGCAGTGATGGGGGGGGGAGAGAGATTTGCATAAAAAGAAATGGCAGCCCTCAAGCAGCCCACCCTGGGGGGGGGAGGCATGTTCCTCCCTCACTGAATAATCTGGCAAAGCTAATACTCTGCATGTCAAAAGGGAATGGCTAGAGCAAGTGCCGATTGGTTGCAAGCTGCAATGCCTGTGAACAAAAACAACACTAGACTTAGGCGACAGCCACAGTTGGGCATGCAGCGTGATCCTGTGTTGCTGCGCTGGCAGGCCTTTCTGTTCAGGGTCAGCCCACTTGCGATATTCGCTTTTGTGGTCCAGAAGCAGGACTCCTCACCTTCCTTTTGGTGTATGCACCCAAACAATGCCACGTTTTTCCAGAGCTGAAAACAGTTTCCCAGAACTAGCCCAACCCATGCCATGCAGTGGGCCTGGCAGTCTTCAGCCCCCTATCCCAGGGGGAGACTATGCCAACTTACCTGCCTTGACTGTGAACACTTGTAAAAGCAGGCAGAACACTTTGGCCATGCAAGACAAAGAGATAAAGAAACCTTGGATCTTTTTTAGAAGAAAGGTGGGATAAGAGGGAGGGGAGAGAGAGAGAGAGCTCTGTTCATTTGTTGTAGGAGTTCCAGCCCTTAGTGAAGATTTCCAAGCAAACAAACAGAATCCTTTCTTCTTTTATTGAGAAAGTGAGCTGACCGTTGACCTTGGAAGGGCTCAGAAAAGCACAAGTGGGTTAAAGAAAGAGGTCAGCTGACACTCCGGAATCCAGAACCCCTGCCCTAACCCAGCGCTCCAGCCTGCCAGTCCTGCTGCATTTCCTGGAGGCATATCAGGGCAGCCCTGTCCTTTCCAAGACTTGGCCCAACAAACCAAACCCTCAGACCAAAAAGGGCAATAAAAGCCACTGGGAGCAACTGGGAGATGGTCCCACTTGTGAGAACATGTAGCATCAGCAGTCATCATAATCATCGGTGTGTCTTTCCAAAATGCAGGAAACTTGCATAGTTCATCACATGTCGTGATCGAGAAACAACCAGCAGGACACGTGTTCCGGAGGAGTTTTCCACTAACCGGAACACCAGGCAATGAAAAGCTCTGGACTGCTGTGGCCAAAGGCTAGGCTTTTAGGCAGCCAGAGGGTTGCACCCCCTTTTGGAGGCTGTGCAGTTCCTGGGCCAAAACAGCAGCTCAGTGTATAGAAATGCAGTGGGTGACGTTACCTCATTCTTTATCTCCATGGTAGGGAAAGCATCCGTTGCATAGTTCCCATGTATGGCACTACCCTTGACGGCCCAGGAGCTGAATCACTAGGACAGATGGGAAGGTTTTCCCTCCCTCCCACCTGCCCCCTTCTCCATCTCCAGCCAGAGAACGTGAAAGACAGAAGGGTACCTGGAGACCCTCCAGCCCGAAGGCCTGCCCAAGTCACAGCCTGCCACGTAGGGGCACAGCTCTGTTGCCGGCAAAGTCCTCCAGGACTTTGGGCCTGTTGGCCAGGGGTTTCAAGCCCAAATGGCTCTTCCTTTTCTCTCTCCCTGCAGTGCCTGGTGTCCTCGGGAACCAGCTGGAGGCCAAGCTGGACAAGCCAGACGTGGTGAACTGGATGTGCTACCGTAAGACAGAAGACTATTTCACCATTTGGTTGAACCTGAACCTGTTTCTACCCCTGGGGGTGGACTGCTGGATTGACAACACCAGGTACAGCCCCCTAGTCAGCCTGCCCACCACCCGGAGACCAGCACCCACCATCCCTTCTCCTCTCTGCCCCTCTACACTATTGTTTACACAAAGCATTAGCACACCACAAACAGTTTGGCACCACAGCATTCCCAGGCCCCGGTAACAATGGCAGGAAGGAAAGGAGGGAGAAAACGAGCAGGAGGGAGAGAGGAGAGGTTTGGCATGGGAAGGAGGGAAGGGCCTGGCATGACTAGTAGGAGGAGAGCCACCCGGGAGCAGAAGGAAGAAGGGAGAGACATTAGAAGAAAGAAAGAAAGAAAGAAAGAAAGAAAGAAAGAAAGAAAGAAAGAAAGAAAGAAAGAAAGAAAGAAAGAAAGAAAGAAAGAAAGAGGCCTAGCAGTTTGCACACAGATTTCATACCTATACATATGTAGAGAGATCACACCTTTTTTGTGTTCCATATTGCGGTAATGGTGGAAGATCCAGGAAGAGGAAAGCAACACATATGTGTGTGCGTGCACACGCGCACGCACGTGCACGCGCACACACACAAACACACACACCAGTTTGTATGATTTTACAAAGATTCACTACAAGATGAAGATTTCCAGTGGATTCCACAGAACGTGCAGCAAAAACTGCAGAGTTTTCAGCACCTTGTGTGTGTTTGTGTGTTTGAATACATGGCCAGGATCTTTACACCATCCTCATGATTTTACATAGGTTTCACAGACCCAGCTGCTGTCTCCCTGCCTGTTGCTTGTTGTTAGCCACTTTGATGCCAGGGCAATCCCCTGTTGCCCCCCATTCTCCTGTGGCCATCCTGAAAGCGAGCCCATTGCTGTGGGGGTTCTTCTGGCATCCAGCCACCGCCCTCCCTGCCTCTCCCCAGGAGCCATTGGAGGGGCTTCTCTGGGCACAAGCAGGTCCCCACGGCTTCTTGAAGAGAAGGGTTCTGGGTCAGGAGGGTAGTGCACCCCGATGCTGTGTCCAGAGAGCATGGCTGACCTGGCAGGCGTGTCATGCCTTAGGGTGTTCTCTGAGCTTTCCCACCCTATGGTGGCTCTTTGGGAGTATGCATATCATGGTATACAACCATATACACTGTTGAACTGTTATCAGGATACTTCTCCACAGAGCCACCACTCTTCTTCCAGCACTAATCCCACTGCTGTTACTCCTGAGAGGTGCAAGTATTCTAACAGACCAAAGTGACCTGTTTTTCATAGTCAGAGTCTTAAACTTAAAAAGGGCTTAGCTGAAAGCTGATCTTCAGTTCCAAAGTTAAACTTTCAACCCAGGAAACATGGGGAGGGGGGTGTTATGAATTTTGGAGGTGGTTTTCCTCCTGTGAGGTTCACCTCCACGCCCACCATTGCACATGTTTCAGAGGGGCTTCGATGCATGTGTGGTGGTAGCTAGTATTCTAGGGATTGTGACCCTAATGGCCAAAGCTTGCCCAGCTGCCCGTAGAAGTCCTGAGATGACACTTTCCTTTTGTTTTGTACCCATCCTGGGTGTGCCGTCTCCGCCTAGGGTGGTATACAATAGGACCACCCGGAGGATGTACAACGCCCCTGGAGTGCATATCCGTGTCCCTGGGTTTGGCAAAACCTACTCTGTGGAATACCTGGACAAGAGCAAGCTAGCCGGTAAGAAGAACAGGGCCCATCTCGCCCACACCACTCAGCCCTTCTCCTGCCTTCCCTTTCACTCCAACTGCTTCCATACTAGAACTCTCTACCAGTAATTGGGTCTTGCTCTTTCAAGCTTGCTTTCTCACTGCCTATTTCCTCTGGCCAAGCTCACCTTGCACAAGGTGCCTTAGCGATTGGGAGGCATGGGCCTGCACCCTAAACATAACTCAGTTGCATTGCAAGGCATGGGGAAGAACTGAAAGCCGGAAGAGCAGGAAAAAAAGCTACATGAAAGCAGGTCACTCCCATGCACTCCTCCCCACCTCTCCCTTAGGTTATCTGCATACCTTGGTGCAACATTTGGTCAATAACGGCTACGTGCGGGACCAGACTGTGAGAGCTGCACCTTATGACTGGAGAATTGGGCCCAGTAAGTATAAACTGAGGTGGGGGGGTGGCAACTCCAGTGGGGATTTTCTCTGAAATGAATGCTTGTTTTTAAGGTGCAAAATTCTTTTATTTTCTTCTCTTTTTCTTTTTTCTTTTTATCTTGCTGTTGTTATATAACCAAAATCAAGTCGATTTGCGAAATGTTGATTGAGCCACACTCCTGCTGAATTAACAGACAGTCTTTTCCTCTTGGAGAAGCACTGTCTCAAAATTCAGAATCGGTGTCTCCTGGGGGAGGCCCTCCCACCCACCCCCCTTCTTGTGCTAACAAATGTGGCTTCCTGCCAGGAAAGGAATCTTGGGATTGTGGAAGGAAGCTTGATGAAAATACCATCCAATACCTTGCCCCTGAAGGTACACAAAATTCAGTGTGAGGCATAGTTAGAGAAGGGATTAAAATGAAATTTAAACTGCTGACCTCATACTGCCCTTATGGGAATCCATAGCACAACCACGACTGGAGTCCTGTATACAATTCTGGGTATGACATCCAGAAGAACACAGACCCTGTGAGGCGCTCCAAGGGGCCGCCCACCAGAGAGGGTAGTAGGCGAATTCATGGTGAAGGCGAGGGCCACCCATAGCAGTCAGACAGGGTGGCCTGCGTCCCTCTCCGCCCACCTCCCTCCCTCACCCACCCACTCTCTTTCCACAGATGAACAAGAGGACTATTTCCAGAAACTGCGGGCCATGGTGGAGGAGATGCGTGTGGCCTACGACAAGCCCGTCTTCCTGCTTGGCCATAGTCTTGGCAACCTCAACCTCCTCTATTTCCTGCTCCAGCAGCCCCAGTCCTGGAAAGACCATTTCATCCAGGGCTTCATTTCCCTGGGAGCCCCGTGGGGAGGAGCCGTAAAAACCATGAAGGTCTTGGCCACAGGTGAACTGGTTGCCCAGTCAGGGGTGTTGGGAAGGGCCATGGCAGCCTCGCCGCCCCCGCCCTCCACAAAAGCTCAGGTCCAGCCACCAGGCTCCTTTCCTAACACATTTCAACATCACAGGGAGAATGAAGAACACATGGGTGCAGGTGCTGGCACTTGCCCAGGACAGGCCCTCACCCATGTTTGCTGCCCGAATCTGGCCTCTGTTCTCTATCATGAGTTGCCTGAGGCTGCCTGAGGCTGAGGGACCAAGGCCCTAGAGCCAAAGGGGGTGCCCCTCAGAACAGGAGAGAGCCAGAATGCCCAGGTAACAAGGGTCTTGCCAAACACCCTTTCCAGCCATTCCCTAGGGTGGAATCCTCACCCTTTCCCACACATGCTCCTGTCTCCTCATAGGGATGCAGAAGGCAGGGTGCAACACTTTCTCAGTCAGCCCTGTCCTGAAGTTATGTTTCAGCCTGAGTCTGAGCCAAATACAGCCCTAGTCAAAGCAACAGAAGGAAAGAAAGAGTCCCCGTGTAGCAGTGCCAGTAACTGCTGCTGCCATGATGCCACTCTCATGCATCCAAGGATCTGCGCTTGGAAGTCCCTGCAAGAGAGCTCAGGTGCCCTGCCCTGCCCCTGGCCACAGCCAAAAGGTTTCTGTTTCCCACCAAACCACAAATCCCAGGTTTCAGCAGGAAGAAATCACGGCAGTTCTCATAGCATCAAACAGGCATCAAAGGAGGCTATAACAGGGCATGGTCGATGCAAACCAATGAGCCACAGATCTCTGTGGATGCCTAGCTCCAGCGAGAGCTCGCATGGCTGCTGGTGGGGCAGGAATGGAGACCAGCAGGGCCTCTGATGAACATGTGTTGCTCTGATTTTTAGGAGACGACCATGGCATCCCTCTCGTGTCCAGTATCAAGCTGCGAGAAGAGCAGCGCATGACCACCACCAGCCCCTGGATGTTGCCCACCATGTTAGCCTGGCCTGAGACCCACACCTTCATCTCCACCCCCTTCCGCAACTACACCTACCAGGACTACTGGGACTACTTCATTGACGTGAACTTTGAGGATGGCTGGTACATGTGGAACGACACCAAGGACTTGCTGAAAGGGTTGCCCCCGCCGGGCGTGGAGGTCTTCTGTGTGTATGGCACAGGGCTCCCCACAGCAGAGACCTACATCTATGATGACAGCTTCCCCTATGAGGACCCAGTGGATGTTGTGTATGTGGACGGCGATGACACAGTCAGCAGGCGCAGCTTGGAGCTGTGCAGGCGGTGGGGTGGCCAACAGAAGGAGGCAGTCCATGTGCTGGAGCTGCCTGGCGTGGACCACTTCAACATGGTCTTTGACAACCGCACCCTCAACTACATCAATGAGATCCTGCTCAGCAGCTCCAAAAATATGTCTGTTGCAGAAGATGAAGGCAGAGCTGAGTGAGAGGAGAGGGAGCCCCACCGGAAAAGGGGGGGAACCTTCTCCAGGCTGAGGGAAGCAGCAATGGGGGCTGGTTCATCCCATCCTGTCCCATCCCATCCTCCTCCATCCTCCTCCAGTCTGGTGGGAACTTTCACAGGTTCTTGCCATGTAATTTTAAGGTGTCCCAAGGGATATGACAGCTGCATGCATGGGGATGAGCAACTCACTCCTGCCATCTCCCCCTTTCGGTAAGAGGGAAGGTGTGTGCAAATTCCTCAGAGCTACAGCTGTGCTACTCTGTTCCATGATGAGCACAACGTTTCATGACGGCTTGTGTGCCCTGCTCCACCCTACAGCTCTTGGTGGAAACATGGAGGTAAACGCACGAACCAAGCCAGAGTTCTACCTACTGCATGTAAACCCTGGAGAGCAGCAGGGCCAGCCCAGAACAGCTTGAGTTTCTCCCATCCTGCTTTCAGCCAAGTCCAGCTCTTTCCCAACAAGGCAAGGGGAGACCCTCCTTCCCCTGCCTGAGGACAGGCTCACATAAACACGCTGTGTGTTGCACACAATGTGGGCCCCCGAGAGGCCTGGCCTGGCAACAGGCTTGAGCTTGAGGGGCAGCAGGGCCGGCCCTCTCCTGCCATGTCACTTGCCTCCCCCAAGGCTTTGCAAAGCCGGCAGACACACTCCTGACTCAGAAACCAGACAGGAAGCACTTTTGCCTTCCTAAAAAGGAAGGGGGGGCTCCCAGTTCCAGCTGCCTCTTCTCTCATCCCAACTCCCTAAGTGATTGTGGTGGGCAGGCGGGTGCTACATTTGTGTGCAACTTTTGACAAGCAAGCTTTGCAAATAACTAAGTGGGAAGCAATGGATTTGTCACAGGGAGGGAAGCACAGCAGAATTTGGGCTCACTTCAGGCCTAGAGTAGCTGGTGGATGAGGCCCGCACCCTCAAGGCTCACACAAGCCCTGTCATCCCTCCTTTTATTCCTACATCAAGTGTGTCACTAAAAACAAAAGGAAGTGGTTTTGTGAAAATGGCCAGTTTGTTTCAAATGTGTGATCGGGTTATGACTTTCATCTTTGCTAGGCACAATTTGCACATTCTCAGAGGTTTTTATTGTTTTTATTATTACTACATACATGTCCACATTTCATGGCAGCCCTGGAGAAAAAGGGGGATCTCAGATGAAATCCAGTTCTTAAAAAATGCGGACACACACACACACACACACAAATGGCCAGTTTGTTTCAAATGTGTGATCGGGTTATGACTTTCATCTTTGCTAGGCACAATTTGCACATTCTCAGAGGTTTTTATTGTTTTTATTATTACTACATACATGTCCACATTTCATGGCAGCCCTGGAGAAAAAGGGGGATCTCAGATGAAATCCAGTTCTTAAAAAATGCGGACACACACACACACACACACANAGGGAGTTGGGCAGTAACATCGTTGCCTTCGCCCTGAAGTGGGGGAGCCTGAGAGAGGCTGCAGTGTGTGAATCAAGCCACTCAAGAATACAGCACCACAGAGGGAAGGCAGGCTGCTGGCCACAATCCACCATCACAGCTCCCTCCTCTGACCTTGCAGGACAGGCTGCTTTGGGCAAAGTGTACGCCAGGAAAGAAAGGAGCCGAGGAGGCCCCAGCTGTGGAGAGTAGGAGGCGTCTCAGCTCTGGCTGCCCTGCCCTCTATGTCAGACTGCCTGGCGGTCACTCCCACCACTCTCAAGGGTCCCACCTCCTCATGAGCAAGCCACCTGGATAGTTGGGTGGAGGAGGCAGGCATGGCTTCTCTGGCAGGGTAGAGAGGTGGCCCGTGACAAAAACTCTTTTCCTCCAGGCGTGGGGCAGGAGAGCAGAGCACACCAATCTTCTGCGTAAAGGGGGGGGGTGGACTCTTTTGGCTCATGGGGGAGCTTTCCATCTCACAGGTCTCCTTCTGCTGTTGGAATTGGGAGAGTCCGCCTGAGCCGGATGGCCCACTGCACCTGCTGCCTGTGTAGCAGCCGAAAATGGCCTCTTCTAACCCTTCCAAAGCCTTTCAAAGGTCAGTGGAAGCAGTTTGGTTCAATTTACCTTTTGGCACTCTTGGTGAGAGAGTGAAAACAGATTTTAGAAACTGGGAGTGAAAGAACAACACCCTGTTACCGAATCCCGGGACTGGAGGAGGCCTCAGAGAGCCTGGAGGCCAATCCTTTGCTACCAGGGCAGGAAATCCACCCTTTCAGCACCCTGGACAGAGACTACCTGCCCTCCACCTGAACACTTCTGACTGAAGAAAGCCCACAGCCGCCCCTTCCCCTGCCAGGCCTTTTTTCTGCTGCCAAGAGGTTCACCTTAACATCCCGCCAGCCCCCCCCCCTTCCTAGTAGCTCCCCGGTGCTTCTTCAACTATTAATCTTAGATAATAATCTTTATTGTCCTTGGGAACAATGGGGAATCAATCCACACTACCATCTCCATGACAGGCCTCCTGTATTTGAAGGTGTCTATCATGCACACCCCTGTTTCTCCCCCATTTCTCGAGGATCTGCTATTCTGCCACGTGCTTGCCATCCTTGTCACCCTTCTCCGAACACACTCAAGTTTGCCCATCCCTTTCTTGATATGGAGGATGGGCTCAGGAGGGCAGCCACAGCAGCACGGAGCAGAACAAGGCCCTCAGGAACGGAGAACGGCCACTCCCACCTCCTGGATCCAGGGGTGGGGCCGGGAAGAGGGGCCGGCCCTCCTCTCTTTGCCCAGAACCGAGCGCCCAGGCTCCATAGACGGACTGGCGGCCCGGCTTGGCCCCAGGCTCCTTCGCCTGACGCCTGGTTTTCCCGAAGACAGGTCCACGTTAAAGCACAAGTGAATCTCTAAAATTAAGGGCCGTTTACTTCTGCACCTCGGTGCATTAGTGGGGCGCGGTGGACACGAGGGGGGCAGACGAGCGGAGCCTGGTCCCTTCCTTTCTAGAGGACCAGCTGCCAAAAAGCCGCCCGTCCGCCCGCCGTCCTTCCTCCTCCTCCTCCTCCTCCTCCTGCCTGGTGCACCAGAAGGCCGGCACGGGATCGCAGGCACGGCCGGCGGGAGCCGCCCAGGGCTCAGCAACGGAAAGGCCGAGGCGGTCGGTCGGGACGCAGGTTGCCAACAGGCGCTGGAGCGGGCAGCGACCGCGGCGCCCACCTCGCCTCCCGGTGCTCGCGCTCTCGGTGTGCGGAGGGGCCAGGCGCGGGGGGGGCTGCCAGCCCCCCCTCCTTCTGGCTTTCCAAGCGCCCGGGCAAGGCCTCCAGCGCCCCCTTCCAGCCCACCGGCCGGTCCAGCCCGTCCTCTTTCCCCCACCCGCAGCTGGATCGGGCCAGGAGGCGGCGACTGGTTGCTTCTCCGGGTCAGGCTGCGGCCTCCACTGCCTACTCCTCGGAAGACAAGGGAGCGCCGCCTCTCGACGCAGCGGACCCGGAGGTTGGCGGCGGCCTCCACTCGCCAGCTGGGGCAAGAATGTCTTAGCTAAACAGACGCCTCCACTGAGCATGCGCATGGCGCAGGGACCCCCCCCCCAACCCCTGCTAAGGCAGAAGAGGAGGCGGGGGAGAAGGTGGGCGGCCGGCGGGCGAGCGGGCGGGCGGGCAGGTAAGGAGGCCGCGGAGCGCCCGC